ATAATATAATGGAAGTTAATTCATTAAATAACAGGAGGCGTGTGCCAACTTGCCTGTAAGTGGAGAATAGTGGTGGAGCAATGCTATTTATCACAAACCGGACAGTCTAATCAAGTGTGATGCTTTCCTGTGGTTAATGGATAAATACCAGGGCTCACTGCAGACACGCGGGTGTGATGTGATGTGATGTGGTGTGGTGTGGTGTGGTGTGGTGTGGTGTGGTGTGGTGTGGTGTGGTGTGGTGTGGTGTGGTGTGGTGTGGTGTGGTGTGGTGTGGTGTGGTGTGGTGTGGTGTGGTGTGATGTGGTGTGGTGTGGTGTGGTGTGGTGGGTGTGGTGTGGTGTGGTGTGGTGTGGTGTGGTGTGGTGTGGTGTGGTGTGGTGTGGTGTGGTGTGGTGTGGTGTGGTGTGGTGTGGTGTGGTGTGGTGTGGTGTGGTGTGGTGTGGTGTGGTGTGGTGTGGTGTGGTGTGGTGTGGTGTGGTGTGGTGTGGTGTGGTGTGGTGTGGTGTGGTGTGGTTGTCACACGCCAAAACTGCAGCTCAGGTATGTATTCACTATTTAGAGTTATTGTTACTTGAACTGATATCTGATTGACAGTCTGATCTGCTGTTACAACCGATATTTGATCTACAATCTATCTATTTTGCAGTTTTATACCTTTGCTGTATTTACTGATCGACTTTGAACTAGTATCGAGGAAAAAGGTCTTTCTCTAACCTGATTTATCTTCAGTAACTTTACTATCTGACTTGGTATTTCTGTCTACATACTACGCATTCCTAAAAGTGAGGAGGTAGTGCATGGTACACTGTATTTTGATACGTACAACACGTTATTTCTCTAGCAACAGCAAAAATGTGAAAATTTCAAATAGCTGACAGTTGAACATCGAAATGCAGCGATGGAAAGTAAGAACAAATCTTTTCGGGAACAATCCTCGTTCCACCTGTAACCTGTTGTAAATGACAAATTACTAAGGTAAAAATACATTATGTTTTCATTTGTAAGCCGGCAGCACGACGTTTGCTCGTGAGTTGGTATTTCTCCTCGCAAATTTCCAGATCTCTTAAGTTGGAACCACAGCCAACACAGACCAAACAACAAAATGTAAGCCAACGAGAACCTTAGCCAAATGTCGCTGTTAGTAGACGACCAGAGATATACACGTATTTATAACAAGGCACGGCTACAGTTTACACAGCATACCAAGCAATGAAATGTGTAACTGGCATGTGAAACCTTGTACCCAGGTTTATTTACCGACAAAAGAGCTGTTCGTGTAGTAGCTGTTGCCCACTAATCTGAACATAGAGCCTGTATATGGTGGGTTTCTACAAGGAGTAGGACAGGGATTTGGGGACAGGGAGTTGGGGACAGGGATTTGGGGACAGGGATTGGGGACATGGATTTGGGGACAGGGAGTTGAGGACATGGAGTTGGGGACAGGGAGTTGAGGACAGGGAGTTGAGGACATGGAGTTGGGGACAGGGAGTTGAGGACAGGGAGTTGAGGACATGGAGTTGGGGACAGTGAGTTGAGGACAGGGAGTTGGGGACAGGGAGTTGGGGATATGGAGTTGGGGACAGGGAGTTGGGGATATGGAGTTGGGGACAGGGAGTTGGGGACAGGGAGTTGGGGACAGGGAGTTGGGAACAGGGAGTTGGGGACAGGGAGTTGGGGACAGGGAGTTTCAACTTTTTAATAACATTTAAGCCCACAGGGGGGGGGGGGTCCGAGGTCTAAAAAATATTTTTTTCCAGTTGGCAGACCACGTACTACTTAACGCTCGCGCACCACCCCTAGCACCCCAGAGCGCCTAGTTTGTCGTAAAATTGAGCTTAACTATTGCCTATTTAATCAGATCAGTTAACCTCGCAAATAACCGGTTCTTAACATTTCGTTGCTCTCGTCACAATTTAAACTTATCCATGGGTATCAATTGGCCATCCAACGTGAACAGAACTATTATGTGCCCTTTATTTGTTGGAAAATTGAGGTTAACATATTTTCTCAAAAATCAATCTTGTGGCTCTCCTGAAACCACCTTTAAAACCTATCTCATCCTAGTAGAGCTTTCATCTGTTTTATCTCAAATTTGGAACATATGTTCCTGAGATAGCCACAATCAGTTACGATGCAGCGTTTTTTTTAATTTTGCTCCTAACTTTTTCTATGAAGTTAATTATTGACAATTTTGTGACGTGCACTCATGGTTATTGGTTAACCTCATATGTCAGCTTTGAAGCAAAAAATCAAAAATCGTTAGTACATTATTATATTATTGGACAAGACCTTGACAAACACTGTTGCCAAGTTACAAGGTCCCATGTCGTAAACTGTAAAAGAAGATAGATTTTAAACAAAATTGCATTTGAAGTTTTCATTCACAATATAATTACAGGTAAACCTCAAAATTTGATGCGCAATATCTACAGATGCAATGGGAAACTTTTTTTCCGGTGGGAACAAAAGCATTAGAAAATTAAGATCGAGCTCTACAACATATCTCAAAATCTCAAAATTGACCTCGGACCAGTGGCCTTAAAGAGCTGTTAGCCGGTTAAAGGGCGCCAGTAGTGCAAATTTCAACACAACAGAAAACCACAAGTCTGAATATTCACTGATTCCGGGTGAATATATTGCTCGCGTATTTACAGTAGGATAATTTTTGTAACTGTTACCCCACATTAACCGTTCAGACGTGACTAATTATCACCAGATTACAATGTCACGTGACCCATGTCAACATCCAGTCTGATCATTATATAGCCTGGAGCATTTATTTACTGGTCCGATAAACGATATAATAATAAAACTAAATCTCATTCAACCTGTTTCTTTGTGGTGAATAAAGAATCCACAACCTTAACTACGTTACTTAATTACGATAATATCGTAATATTATTACGATGTCCTCTAACCAGGGTGGGGCAGTTTAACATTGTTAACACTGTTAACATTGTTAACACTGCGTTACACCTTATATTCACCGCTTTAAAAGTAACTTAATGCTCATTATACTTTTTCGTTGTGTCATTATTATTTATTATTAACTGTTAAAAAACTGTTGTTAACTAGATGTTAGGCAGATATCAGGTATCCAAACTTGCCACTTTATTTGTTACTTCTAAAGCAGGGGTTCTAGCAGGAACCCGTATAAACTCTAAAGACTCAAGAGACTAAAATGATTATTACCTATTTAATTCGCGTTTTTGACACCACTTGGGGGTCCAAATTTTGGGCTCTAAAATCACTATTCCTTGGCCAATTTTTTATTTTTCATGCTGATTTGGCGGCCATTAAAGCATTTGACCCAGTCAAAAAAGTTTCAGTTGTATATCTTTTACGGTTTTTGTGGAAAGTCGCGTTAAAGTTGATGCCGTGGTGTCAGTAAAATGGCACGGAAAACTATCGTCTGGCTTTATATATAGTATATAATACTCGATTCAGCATGAGCGACAAAAACTTACCTCGAACATTTTTTCCGGCCAACAATTATTTTTTCCTAATTCCTAATTCTTATGACCACTAATATTATTGAAACCAAAAACGCCTACATTTTTGTCCCTAATTTTGGTGATCAACCTTAAATTGAACCAGATTTTAAAAAGCCGATGCAAGGTATTTGCAGAAAAAGTTCCGTAGAAGCACATCACATAGCCTTGATACAGCTGACAAAGACCAGCACAGCCAGTCCTTTATCATCGGACAAAAACAAATTCAAACAAAACAAATCACACGCAGTACGTAACGCTGAACTTTCCCTGGAAAATAACACAAAAAAAGGCGGCATCAATTGCCAGCTTACAACAAAACTGGTTGTATCACATAAAACCAGCAGTATAAAGTTCCACCACTACAACACACCACCATCACAGCAGAAAAACCACAAATCAGGGTCCTCGGACGGACGGACAGACGGACATGTCGGAGGTACTATGTATAAAAATACACGTATGATATAGCGGGGGTTACTCCCAGTGCGATAATCCGGACAATAAAGAGGATCAGGTATTATCCCATATCAGTTTAACATGTACTGTGGGCAGGTCACGTGGTGTTTGAGCAGACCACGTGACCTGCCCGGTGTGTGTGTGTGTGTAGCTATTCTCATCTTATAATTTGGGTCTATTGAGGATGGCATCTCCATTCATTGGTGGTGAATTTTAATTGATACCTGTTCGGGCGCATTTGTTAAATGCGTAGCCTAGGAGCACTGAGCAGTGTACCTGGATCAAGACGCCGCGTTTTCACGCTCAAATCTCTGGTAAATATTTTAGGAATTTTTAGGTTTTTCCGGGTTTTATTTAGAGGTTTAACTGAGGATATGAGGTTTTCCTGATTGTGGTAGAGGGTTCCTGATGGTTGATTTAGGGGAAATTGGAATTCAGTGTATTTTGATAGGGATAAGAAATTTAGTGTATAGAAAGATTTTTTGGTATGTGCTATAGTCTTATCTGATAATAATGTGGGACAAGTTTAAATGTGCTATAATTATGATGTGGAACTAATGCGAAAGCATCTAGAAGTATAACGTCAGTTTTACTTTTCATTGGACCTTAGAAACCTTTTTATCTTCAACAAACATAACCATTATACACTGTATTAATTGATAAGTTGCATCATAATCTGCGAACAATGAACTAATTTTAAACTAATCACAACACTACAAATCTAAATGATATTATATAATTAGATAATATTATTAGAGAACAACTCAAAACACGCGAATATGTAGTTTTCTCACATCTAATTGGATCCTTTATTGATTCGGGGAACAAAACATGGAACGTTGTTGATAACACTGAGAACACTGAAATTAATAACAACACTGAACATCCATTATAAATGTTGAGACTTGAGATATATCATTATCAACGTGGTCACAATATTCTTAAATTTGATCCTTTGAACAGCTGTTGAGCAATGAAACGCAAACATAATCTTAGCAAAATGAATATATTTCTTTTATCTTCAGCATTTAATCAGTCACATAATCTCAAATTATTTGTTATATAGTAGTGTTGAAAGTATTAAAACTCACAATATTGTTCTTTAAAATGTTTACTAAGATATTCAGATCGAAAGTTCAGCTGAACGTAGCTTAACTAAGGCCTAAGCCTGGTAGGGAGGTATAGCATCTACTTAAGGGGGCAGGGGGGTCTTTATAAAATTTCTCTCGAAATTGATTTTATAGTTGTTTCTAATAGATAATAGGAGAGTGATATCTATCTGCTACTTTTGGTCCCATGGAAAAATATTGTTCCTAGCCGAAATTACCTTATCGGACCTTATTTGGACGGACATTAATTGAACGCTGGAGGCCTTAACGTTCATCTTAATGTCCGTTCAAATAAAGTCCGTTCATTTAAGGTCCGTCCAAGTTAAAGTCCGTTGAATTTTTTCAAAAATTTGAACTTTTTGTCCAGAATATGACAACTATGAGAACTTTATTGTGCCGTAAGTTAACGACGGAAAGGTTTTCCTTGGTCTGCCGGAGGCACAGAAAACTCTACTAGGATATGATGTTTTCAAGGGGCACTTTGCGGAAAAAGTCAACGAAATTATGGAACTCAACAACATAGTTCATGAGCTAGTCCCCGCCAACATTACAAACTTGTTCCAGCCTCTACATATATTACGGTAAATCGTGTTGCCAAGGACATTGTCTATTTATAGACGAGACTAAAGAGTTTCTCCAATATAAAATTGATTTATAGATTGCAACTGCCCTTATAAGCGCTTGGTACATCGACTTTAATTCTATTTTAAGTCTATATAATTATCTGCACCCGGGAATTAAAAACTGCAAAATCTTGCAGCTTCGGGAAATTAAATTACCACAATGATATCAGAGTTCAGACTACGCAATATGTAAGTCAACGAAAATAAATCCCATGGAAAAAGCGCTCTTGATGAATCGCTAATGAGAGCGGGAACTGGAAAAAGGACGATCAAGCAAAACCCTTGCAAATCTGATCGACGATATTCCCTCTAAGAGTTACTCCCAAGCTCCCACACTGTAAAACACTAAATCATGTCGAGTCCTAAATAATGGTGATCAGTGCAGACCAAACAGCAAAGCCAAAAAAAATAAAAGGGGGGAACCCCAACCCTTGTAGGCGTAGTTGAGACACCTCAGTCCTCACAGCAAGTAGACCAAAGTGGCTCTTGCTTGTGAAAGGTGTATCAACTCAGCTAGGCCTGATGGAGTTCTCTTCCAATTATTCAATTAGACAGTTATATATTAATGCTTTTCATACAAACAAGTGAAAACGAATCTTTTATGTCATGTATCCAGGGTTTGGACTGGAATTGCCCGCTTAAAGAACTTCCATCGCGTTACATTACATAATTTTCTCAATAAATGTATTTAATTGTATAGTTGTGAAAATAGTATAGCCTTCTGAAGCAGTCCACAAGTGAGCCAGAAAGGAGGTTAACTTATTTTATTTCAGCTGTTGTGAGCCTAATGATCATTATGAAAGTCTGGAAATAGAGATCAAGTTTCTAGCTGACTCATTGAAACTGAAAAGACGTTGAAACTGGGATAAAAAACATTACACGAACGCCCAAAAAGATGAACCAATTGATATGAGCAACGTTTAAAATTGAACAGCGTTTTAACGTTGTATTTAATTTTGGATTGTGAATGAAAAGTTCTTAAACGTTTTGTAGGCCAACGTTGGTTAATTTTACAGGTTAATTTTTAAACATTGAACTATTTCATGCACGAAAACCCATTTGATGAAGATGATATGCGATATTAAACACTGATCATGTACACATCTTTTAACATTTTTACTGCTTAACGACTGATTTTCTTACTTACTGTAAAAAAAAATGGATTCAAAAATTATTTTCTGAAATAAAAAAAGGTTAAAAAAATGAAAAAAATTCGGATTTTCGATGGTTTTGAGTGCCTTCTAGCGTTCATATTAATGTCCGTTCATAATTATGTCCGTTCATTTAATGTCCGTCCAAATAAGGTCCGATAAGGTATTGCCGGTCAAAGGTCAATGTAGGAGGAGATAGATTTTTAGACTCGATTTTCAGGGCGCACGATTGAAAATCGCTCGCGCAATACAATTACACATGAGCACTGACCTTTGACCGGCAATAATTTCGGCTAGGAACAATATTTTTTCCATGGGAACAAAAGTAGCAGATAGATATCACTCCCTCTATTAGAAACAACTATAAAATCAATTTCGAGAGAAATTTCATAAGACCCCCCCCCCCTGCCCCCTTAACCTTGTTAGTATCTAATTATCTCAGGAGTAATTTCAGCGATACGGTATCAATTACAATAATAATAAATTGAATTATAAACACTGCTTTTAAGTTGAAAAACTTTTACTCAGCTGTGTGAGAAAAACTACAAAAGAACAAAAAGATAAGTGCCACAAAAACTCTATCCTAAATTAACAGCCTTCCCGGCAATACACGATATAATAATATAACTCAGTAACCTAGAGTCTCCATAATAATTGTGGAATTAAAAACCCGGTAATGTTTCTTTAACAGGTAATTTTTCTTGAACAGGATGAAAAAAAACGAAAAGCAGAATAGAATCAAAGTTTACAAGGCTGCAAGCATCTACTTGGAAAATAGGGAAAAGCCCTGCGAATTGCGTTAAATTAGATTACAATGGATAGATTGTTAATTATCCACATATAACACACCGTAATAACATCATTACATGTAGAGGTGACAAAGAGTACCTTTGTGTTTACACTTTACAGTGCGCTACGAGCCCTTAAAACTCGATTCATGTTCAGATAATTTGATCAAAAAAAGAATAATAAATCGTTCGATAATTGCGCCTATAAGTATAATAACTCTTCATCCCACTAGACTGTCAATAAACATTTTCTGAAACTTCGCTAGCTACCATACTTGTTTACTTATGTAGGCCAGCCATCAAGCAATATGTATTATAATTTTATATATTATATGTACCATACCAAAACAGTATGTCAGGACTATGGTAAACTGAGTCGATTTCACTTTGCTATGTAAACTAACGCAATTGATGATTTCCAATTTCTTTGAGTGATAATTTTCATTAGAATTTTTACTTGACTACGTGATATGGCATGTCTCAAATCATCTTAAGTCTCCGATCAAATTACAACTGACTTGAATATATAAACAAAAACTGCATGCACCATAACTACAAACAAATTTGAATAAACGATGCTTTTATAATCAACTTACTACATTAACGTAATAACTATTATAATCAAAGAATAGCAATAGCCATACTTCACCAAGATAGGAAACGATAAAAGTAACATAATAAAATAAGATATTAATAGTTTGCCCTTGTCCATTATTATCGAAACGTAATATATTCGAAATTTATCAATAGCACAGCTCTACAAAATTACTATCAAGCTTTATCAATGCGATAAAAAATATCAACCAGCTTTAAATTACGAGATAAATATGAGGGATATTTTAAACATTAAATAAACATTCATCAAGTTGGCATTGTTACCAAACAACAACATTCCAATCAAAGGAAAGATAACAATGTGAGGTGCGCTATGGTACAACAGATGAAGTTCGCATCTCGTAACAGTAAAGCTTTGTACATGTACCAGGAAAAGCACACAAACGGTGGATTGTGTTTTGATAGGGTGGCTCCTTCATTCACAAACAAGGTCACTCCAACAGTTAATTATATTATATAACGGACAACATGCCGGGGTAGAGGCAACGGAGTTGCATTCTCTAAATAAGAACCAAATAGCACTTTTATTACTTTTAGACTATAGCAAGGCATTTGACGTCCTAGATCACGCGACATTACTCAGGAAACTTGAGCATTACGGTATTCGTGGCATTGCGTTGAAATGGTTCGAGTCATACCTCAGTGGTCGCAGTCAATTTGTTTCCCTAAACGGCTCCAATTCATCATTAGAATCTATGATATACGGTGTTTCACAAGGGAGCATATTAGGCCCCCTGCTCTTTGTCATATATATCAATGACTTACCAGGAATCAGTAACCTAGCTAAATTTATATTATACGCAGACGACGCAAACATTATTATCACCGGATCAAATGTACAAGACATTATATCCAAAGTAAACCACCTCACTGACGTGTTGATAAAATGGGTTAACTCGAACGGCCTAGCTCTTAATCTGAAGAAGACTTGCTATATGGTATTTTCAAAAAGACGGGTAGATCTATCGTCTCTACAAGTAAGTATCGACAACTCTCCTATAGAACGCAAAACGGAGGCCAGGTTTTTAGGAGTTATCGTCGACGACAAACTAAAATGGGCCAGCCACATCCGAGCCGTCAAAACAAAAATGTCACGGTTTATAGGTATTATGTTCAAAATAAAACGCAAATTACCAATCAAAGCACGCTTACAGATCTTCCAAAGTTTTGTACAATCTCACTTAAATTTCTGTTCACTAGTTTGGGGCTTTGCTGCAAAATCCCATATTGAATCACTGTTCACTAAACAAAAGCAGGGAATACGAGCAGTTATGCCGGGCTACGTGAATTACTATTACAAGGACGGTAAGCTTCCGGATCATACTAAAACTACGTTTAAAGAGTACGAAATATTATCTGTACACGGGGTCATCATAAAAAATGCTCTGACTCTGATGCACAAAATAACTTACATGCCTGGCCTTCTGCCGTCGTCGATAAAAGACTTATTTCCTCCCGATATACCAAAGTATGGCACGTCTTATGACGACAATATCGACTGGCTAAAAACGTTCTCTCAACCAGATCTACGCGCTAGTGTTCTGTATAAAGGTCCTATATTAGCTATTACCGAGCACAACATTAGTCGCATAACTTGCCCATCTAGCATTTTCTCAATAAGCATATATAAGAAATCAGCGAAGCGTGTAATGATAGAACTACAAAGCTCAGGAAACGATGAAGAATGGCCACCTTTTCTGTTACATAATTTACCCGGGCTACGTAAATCGACAAGATCAGGCACACAACAAATCAACTACCGAGAATAAACTAAGGAATAAATAAA